TATTTGAGTTACCGGTAGTAGTGGTTATTAAACAAAGACTACATCAGTTACTACTTGAGTTACCAGCAGTAGTGATTATTAAACAGACTACATCAGCTACTACTTGAGTTACCGGTAGTAGTGATTACTAAACAAAGACTACATCAGTTACTACTTGAGTTACCAGCAGGAGACTTAGCATATTAATTACCATTTACACATTGTGTAACTACAGTTATTTAAAAAAACACCCAAAGAAAAGTATTTGTTTGTGACTATTTATTTAACTAAGTATATTTATTTGGAAAAATATCTACTGTAACTTGGAGATTTTTTTTTGTTTTATTCATGCAAAGAAATATAATTATTTGAGGAGATGCAAAGCATGGTGTGTTCCAGAAGATTTTTTTTTTAATCCCTGAAGCAGCAACAGTTTAATTATATTTTATGAAAATTATTTTGCACTCTTATTTGTGTTAACTACAGTATTGTGGTGTATAATTGATGAATTAAAATACTGGTTTTAGTTTCCTGATTACCAAAGTCTCAATCGTAAATGTTGTTGTTGGAACTACATATTATGTTGATGTTCTTTTCATCAGCAATGCTGTCACATCCCTCATATACATGTTTGTAGATATTTGAAGATTTACCAAAACTAGGCTTCAGATGTTCTTTTATACTCTGTTCCAAACCATGCATGTTTGTTCCCATACAATTTTGCCCACGTCAGAAATGTATTAATAAACAAGATTTGTTCTAGATGTGGATGAGATTATTTGGGATCCACCACACATCATGTAGAACTGTTTATAAAAGAGTATCTGCTGATAATTCTTCAAATATTTACAAGTATCTAGACCAGGAATGTGAGAGCTTGTGTTTGAACGGGTATCAAAAATCCTACGCGGATGCCCAAAAATTTCTTACTACTATCAACACAATAGTTTCTATCATGTAGAAGATGAGACCATATGAACCATGATGCCACACAGTTTATGATTACTTTTTGTGTAGTGTTGTCTTTATTTTTCTAGCAAAAGCCTATCTAAAACTGCCAATAATAAAAAGTTATTTATGTTTGGATGGAAAAGTAAAAGAAAACAGTAAATGATATAATTATAAATGAAAGATGAAAACAATGTTAACTCCAAAACTTTTGTGGCCATCATGTATACTATAACGTAGGCCTGCAAAGTATAGGCTACTGTGTGTATTCTCACAACTCTGCATGAGGTACTGAAACAAATTCAAACAAACAATATCTCTCCATTTTTTAACTTTTCACCATTTAGTAATGAGCACTGATCTAGGGGTCATGAAATTAATATCAAAGTTAAAGCTTCCAACTGTTTCTTTGATTGGATACTATTAACTTATTGATACTGGTAACGAAACAAAGTAATCTTTAATGTTTCATCCTGGCTGGCTGCGCAGGCAATATTTGTACATGATGATGACACTTAGGCTTAATTACATACATTTACTTACACACATTATGGCATAAATATTGGTTTGTCGTTATAACACACACTGAGAGATTAAAAGATTGCTGAGTGTGTCTGCACTATCAAAAACGTTAGCACGATCGATGAACGGAGCTTACCTTAAATATTTCAATGACAAAACTTTGATAATTCTCCATTAAGACTAGAGTGTGAGTTTCTCACTTAAATTGAAGTGAAGTGAAAAAACGACTCTACTGCAATGATCGCCACATCCTAATACCTCGGATTATGAAGAGCAGCAGCTTTCTACAGTTGAAACAAGTTATATAAAAATATAGAAACTTTTGGGTGATCATATTTATATAGATACAGTAATTTACTGTATGTACAATTACAAATCACACAGTCATCAGATTTGAAAGTTTCCTATGAGTGATAGGCCTAAGTTCTGTCCAAGAATGTTGATTGTGTCGTGCTACAAAATGGTGGTAACCACGAACTGACTGCATGTAGTGACTCAGTTGATAATCATTTAACAAAGAAAAGTTTTAAATGAACTATTCAAAATTTGCTGCTTACTTAATTGATTCTTTGTCTCCTATATTCATTATTGTTCATGGAAGAGGTAAATATTAGTATGGTATAAGCAAATTTTGAGAGTATAATGAACGGTTGATTAACTTGATTTATAAGGTACTGAAGGATTTTTGTACACTGTTAAACTTACAGATCAATGACTAATCAATGTTGCTGCCCCACCACTATAATTTAATCTGAGTCTATCACTATGATTGCTTCTACTTTCGTCTTCACTCTCTGTGTTGTGATTTTTTTTACCTGTTTCTGATTTTTGCTTACTGTTTTCTCTTAAAAATAATAGTCTGTCTGCAGTTCTGTTTACATTACTTTGACCTAAACTTTGCATAACTTTTTTTTAAGAACCGGGTAACAGTTGTGACAGGTGGGTACCTGGTGAAAACACTAGTGAAAAGAATTTTGACATAATATATAGTTCCAACAACAAACAAGATGTATGATTCAAAGAGACTGATGATCAAGAAACTAAAACCAATATTAAATTCTGATTCATTAGCTAAAGAAATGGTTTTGAACATGGAAGCACATTTTTTGATATATGGTCTATAATTTTTTGTGTGAAACAAAAGCCAACATTATGAATAATATATTGCAGTAAGTATTTCAGCTTTATGCTATTATCAGCATGATATAGTCTATGCATAATTTGCTTTTATGATTTTGTATAAACAATGTCATCCTTGTTAAGGTGTAAGTAATAATTTATTTTTAAAATTAAAATTAGCTGTATTTATGAATAGACAAAGATTAGATATTCATTAATTTTAAGAAGTTAATTCTTTTTTATTTTACTTTTTATAATCAAAATAACTGTTCATTGTTGTATGGGGACTCATCAGTGATTTAACTGGTATTGTCTTAACAGGCTCCAGAAGGTGAAACTCAACCCAATACAGAAGTAGACCTTTTTATTTCAACAGAAAAAATCATGGTGCTGAACACTGATCTTAAGGTAAAACTTTTTCTACACATTTAACAATAACGAAGATAACACCTGTTATCTTTTTTTTTTGTAAGAAGCACTTGAAATTTATCATTAATGTTTTATATATTAAATAAAAGGTTTTAGATCTACATGTATAATTTATTCATTAAAGTTCATCTGTGTGACCTAGATGGAAATGTTTGTGTATCATAAATGTATATTGAATATGAGTAAATTATAAGTTTTGGAAAAGGGTGATTATCTAATGTAACAGTTTAAAATACAAGGTTGTCAAAAAACACAAATTATTTGCACATAAACCAGTTATTGAAAAAGTTTTTCTGGCTAGTCATTCTGATTGTGGACATGCAAGATGTGTTCGATGTGATGACCTTATCTTCTCAGGCAGGCATTGATTCTCACTGTAATGTTCTGGATGACATATTGACAGGTTTCCACTGGAATTTGATGTATGAAGGTTTATATAACTCTCTTCAGTTCTTGAATCATTTGTGGATTGTTTTGTAGACACTGTCTTTGCAGTAACCTCATAGGAAGAAGTCAAATTTTAACATTGAAGTGAAGATGATAGAATGATTCTGTCTCCACTATCTTTGTTTGTTGTTAATTTGTGAACATCAGTCATGCTCAAGATGGGTGCCTGTAGTTCACAGAATTAAATTCAACAGGTCCATAGAGTACACTCTGAAAATATAAAGAATATATAGTTTTCTTGTGATGACAAACTATTCATATCTTTTACTGGCTTATTCATATTGTTCTTTTGGACTTCTTGGTTTGAGAATCCTCAAGTTAGTTTTGTTTGAATTATATTTATTTACTGGATCTTGAATAAATTGTTTTTCTCATTTTTGGACAAAGGTCAGCTTGATGCTGATTGTGATCAAGTTCAGGGAGCCTTCTGCTCTTATAGATGTCATTTTGTATTCGAGGTAGCAAATACCTTTTAAATATTAAAAAATATCATAATTTATTTGTTTGCATATTATGAATCCTTAACTCCTTTACTTTCAATCCAGTGCAAAAAAAAAGTATGAAAAATAAAAGGTTTTCCATTTAAGTTCCTTTATTTACATTCCGTTTCGATAGCAGTATGATCCAAAATTGGAAGCACTTTTAGCTAATTTCTCTGTAATTCCCCCTGCTTATCAAAATGCTACATTCTTGATTACCCATTTGAAGTAATGAACTGTACGAACAACCTTTCATTGATGAGTCAATCAGAAAGGTCAAACTGTATGTGTTGAGCAAAAAAAAAAGTGCTTTTAATAATACCTGTAGTCTAACTTGTTTATTCCCATGGTAAATCCTGAATATTTGATAATGGACAGAAGGCATGGTCCTCACAAATCAAAGAGGAGGAAGTTTCCTGGTAACATATCCACCAGAAACAAACAGTTGAGTGAAGAGAAGACTGATAAGCTTAGTAACAGTAAAAGTGAATCACTTGAGTTGCCACAAGTTGTTGGTACTCATAGTGCAGGTACCATTTTTGCAAGTTCAATTTCTGAGCAAGATTCCATGGTACAAAGAGCTTCTAAGAGAAAATTTGGATGTTAGGATGCTACTGAAGGGATATCACCAAAAAGAAAAGAAGAGATTCCACAAGATTGTATCCAAAGTGGTAATATGTTTGTTGATATAGGCACTCTGTAACAAGTGAATTTTGCCACTGTTTGTCTGGAGAAAAGTTGAGCCTATAAATTACCAACAAAAGTGGACTTGCTGCCACTAAAATTTATGTGCAAAACAGTGAACTGTCATAATTAGAAAGTTTGACATACAAGTAAAAAAATGGAAAATAACTTATTTGCTACTAACAAGTAATTTATGTATGCTATGTCAACACTTGGAAAGGTAGAACTGCCAGAGAATTGTTTTGTAGTGTTATGAACATGAACTCACCAAGTACACAGAAGTCTTGGGACAAGCATTTCACATCTGTTTTGAATGCTAGTGAAAGCATGAAAAAAAGCTGCTGAAGATTTGCAAAAATATGGCAGAGTTACTGAAGCATCTGTGACGTGTGGTGGTACCTAGCAGAAATGGGGCTACTCTTCCTTACATGGTGTTGTCACTTTTCTTTCAAGTGAATCTGGGAAATTCAGAGACTATGAACTGCTGCTTAGTTACTGTCATTCAAACAAAAACAGCACAGTAAAGGAGAAAGAGGAACATCATTAAGTTTGCTTATTGTCTTTGTAATAGTAATAATATTGCTACACAAATTTCTTTTAGAGAAGTAATACATATAGCAGGTAATTACTGTAACATTGCCAAAATGCCATGTAATCAAGCTGTAGAAATCTTATTGGTAAATATAATTATATTGTTAAGTTAGAACCTGGTAAGTATTGTTATCTTTTTGAGGTAACATGTAATTTTTTTAAATTTTATTTTATTTAAAATGTGTTTAATACCTTAATAATTATATATATATATGTGTGTGTATGTGTAACCTGTTTTAATAATTGTTTCAGGAAATCATGATGGATCATGCTCTCCGCACAATATCTTATATTGCTGATATTGGTGACTTGGTGGTATTGATGGCACGTCGTAGAATGATGAATGGCACTGATGACTCCACTGATTCAAAGATCAAGAGAACTCCTAAAATGATTTGTCATGTTTTTGAATCTGAAGAGGTAACATGTAATTATTTTTCACTTTGTTTTATTTAAAATGTGTTTTATACCTTATTAAGTTTGTTATAAATAAAAAAACCCATATTGAAAATGATCATATTTTAAACATTTGTCCCATAGGGTCTAAATTGTATCAGACGTACATTGAGTAGTATAAATTTTGTTCAGGATGTGGTGAAAGGTTTTAAAAACTGTCACAGAAGGTGTTCAGTATGCCTTGCATCATTCTCATTCAGCACATGAAGCTGCTTCAACAACCATCTGTTCTGGTAACTGATTTTGAATATCTTGTGCACTGAAAGACATTTTCTTTATATCATCTACCTTATTTTATTCAAAGAGAGAGAAAAGGGGGAGTAAAATTAATAGGTATGCAGCCTAGTATGATTTTAAAACTTTAAACATATGTGAATTTTCCCAAATAAAACTTCTGATTCTCAGGCTGTCTTTGATAAAAGGACAGGAGTCTATAAGAGTGGAATTTTGTCTTCTCTTTGAATTTTTTTATTTATAAAATAATGTTTTTGATTCCACAAATAATGATGTCCAACTCAACCATAAACAAATGCTACATTTTCAATGCCGTGTACCTTAAATGTTCAAATCCCACCTTTGTTCATCAGGAGTACCAGCAGTGATTGCGGTAGCATCCTGAACACCTTGAGGTATACAATCTGGTTTTGTGAACCTCTGATAATTGTGCTGTTAAAGTCATAGGATCCACATTACTGATACTATTTCTTTCTATTAAGAATACTATTACTTTCTCCTGTGTGGCACTCAGTAGCTAATAGAGGTAGGTCTCTTTGTCATGCTATACCCAGAGAGAATACACTTTACTTGAAACAGTGCTCTGTCTTATATTGTTTGAGCATGCATCATGCAAGCAGGAAAATCACTTTCAATGTTGTTTATGAGAGCAAGCCAATAACAGATGTAAAGAGCACATAATCCTGTATAAGACATATCTACAGTTTAGTACATATCATGCCCATTTGCTTCCACTCTTTAAGAGGCCATTTATTGGTTCTACCATCTAAAGCAGTTCTGTGACATTCCTTAAAAGATTAGATTTTTCTCTAGGTTACAGAAATAGTGACATCTGTACTTATATACCCATTTCAAGGAGGAGATTCAATACATCCTGAAATCCACAATAATCATGCTGGTTACAACCCCTTCACAGAAACAGTGGCATTTGTTTTTATATAGTCATTTAAAGGAAGAGAATCAATACATCCTGAAATCCACAACAATCATGCCATGCGCAAATGTTTTTAGCATCATTTTGGAATATGTAATGAATAATTTTCCACCATTGGATACAACCACCATTAGTTTCAGAAATGGTTTTTGCTCGTGCACTATGAACCTTGCCTCTAGAATGCATACTTGTCACTTTTTTGTGTATGTGTATACATTACATTTAATACTAGTATGATAACATTGTTTCCCTCTGTGGAAGAGGATGATTTATTCTTGATTTCTCCAACTTCAATATACCGAGGACCAATTTTCAGAAAAGGCCAAGTATATTGATCTTTACAAGAATAGTATTTTCCAAACTAGAATTGTGTACAAAATGTTGTTGTGTAAACCTTTGAAAAATACTAAGAAGCTCCAAGTAGGCTTAGAAAGATCCTACTTAGTTATTCCTCAAATATGAACTACGCAAGACTTCACATCAAATTGAGGCTTAATCACTCGATTCAGATTCAAGTACTAACCATCAATTAACTTGTCAGAAAATCAAAGTATATCCATTTTATTTTTTTGTTACTGCATGTGTTCTCTAGAAAATCAGTCAACTTGTATGAAGAACAAAGTTTGGATTATTTCTGTTAGTTTTATTGTCATAAGGTCCATAGTATTTGGCTAGAAAATCAATCATGTTATGTGAAGAACAAATTTTGGATCACTTCTGTTAGTTTTATTGTCATAAGGTCCATAGCATTTGGCTAGAAAATCAATCATGTTATGTGAAGAACAAAGTTTGGATCACTTCTGTTAGTTTTATTGTCATAAGGTGCATAGCATTTGGCTAGAAAATCAATCATGTTATGTGAAGAACAAAGTTTGGATCATTTCTGTTAGTTTTATTGTCATAAGGTGCATAGCATTTGAAATAACAGCAATGTTGATGGCACTTCCTACAAATACTGCTATTTTTGACCGGAGCTTTTCATTTAAATTATATTTTCAGTATATCTTTACATGTTCTGATGTCCTTGTTATCCCTGTACACATGACATGTCCGTATTCCTTCAGGGGGACTTAAGGATGTCTCAGTAGCATTACATTATTGTAAGCACTATAGCAACTTGATAATCAATGTGGCAAAGCACCATTGTTTCCATAACTATAGAAGTGTCACAGTTTAATTTCATTCCATATGAAGAGACTAAAGTTTCATAGAATGATAATAGAAAAGCCTTCAGATACATTGCTTATTAGCTAAATAACCATTACCAAATACAATGATAATAGAAACATTAGGATATTTTTATAAAAGTGAACATCTTTGCTCAAAACATATGCTGAAATATTAGTATATAATGTTGAACTCTTCTCTGCAGTAGTACACTGAAAAATATTTTCGTAGAATTTTCGTGGCATGTGTTCTTAAATGTATTAGTACAAAAAAGTTTTTATAGATAGGTAACTATAACTTATGATATTAAAATCTCCATATAATTTTATCCTATAACCTAGAACTGTGTTTGCACCTGTAAAAAATTTTTTTCTGAAGTTTTAAGAATTTTTTTGTAATTTATGTAGAACTCAGTAGTTAAAAAATTACATTTCCTGTCATTTATAAATGGAGGATAAAAGATGCAAATATTGCAATAATAGTGTTTTATTTTTCTTATAGGCACAGTTCATTGCTCAGTCAATTGGCCAAGCATTCCAAGTGGCTTATATGGAATTCCTAAAAGCAAATGGTATTGAAGATAGTAGTTTTGTCAAAGAGATGGATTATCAAGAAGTACTGAATTCACAAGAAATATTTGGAAATGAGCTTGAGATGTTTGCCAAGAAGGAAAAGCAGAAAGAGGTATGAGCTTATAATGATGTAAACTCTTTTTTTACAGCATAAAAATGTTTGTTTATCACATGTAATTAGTAAATGGTTTGCTGGTGTCCGTAGATCAACAAAATATACTACTAACGTTCATTAGGACAGTTCTCTGTAGATTGATGAGTTTGAAATGAATTACTCCTTTGATGTCCCACCAATGCAAAGCATAACTTTCTGTGGATGAAGTCCAGGTTTTGGGGTCGGAAGTGGTTTTTGTGTAGGACTGAGCCATAGTTTTTGGTGTTTAATATTCATATAGAAAATCCATTTTTCATCACTGGTGACAATTCTGTCCAAAAATGGTTCATGTGCATTACTTACCAGAAGAGACAAAGCAAACTTCACACATTGGAAATGATGATCATTGGAGAGTTTGTGAGGCACCCAAACATCTTTTTTATGGAGTTTTCCCATATTCCTTAGATGCTTATGTATTAATACATGAGAGACATGCAATTTCAGGGCTGTTTCGTGAGTGTATTGCTTTGGGTTAGACTCAACAAGCATTTTCAGAG